CCTCAAGGGAGGCTGTGAGGATTCAGTGAGTTCATAGGAACGACTGTTATTGTTAGCGCTTCTGGGGTGGTGGCGGATTCGGTAGAGGCTGTCCCCGGGGCCGGATCCAGTGGGCGCTCAATCGCGCTCCACTCACCACCCAGCCCCCGCCACAGGCCTCAGCCCCGCACCTGACAGGATGTCCCATGACCGCCTCCCACGGGCCCCCTTCCCGGCAGGGTCTGGGTGCCCCCACATGAGATCACTTCCCTCTAGGAAGCCACCCCCAGAGGGAGGGGTTCCCTGTTGGGCCTGTTGAGGCTGGCCCAGCTCAGGGAGGAACTGTTTGGAGGCCGAGGGGCAGGCAGGAGGGCTCAGAGCCTTCCCCCCTCCATGGAGTCAGCTACTACTTAAGGCCAAGGGGTGGGGGAGGCGCAGAGACACCCACACAGCCCACCTCTAGGTGAGGAGTTGGGGGTCAGATCAGGACCACGCTCTGAGGGCAGAAACCACACATGGCTAAACAACAGAGGGCAAAGCTGAGGTAGTGAGCTCCCCGCCGCTGGGAGTATCCCAGGCTGGACCACCACTTGGCTAAGTTGAACCCTTTAGAACCAGTCCAACCTAGGCCTTCCTTTTCTTCATGAGTGGAGCATCATTCCCAGTCCTCTGCTCTCACCCTCCCAAGAGCTCACCTCTCCGGGCCTCAGTTTCCTCATCCGTAAACTAGAAATACTCCCTGGAAGACATGGCGCGTGGATAGAGTGAGTGAGTAGCTCGGCAATGCTGAGCACAGCACGTGGCACATGGCGGGCGTCAGAGTTAGTTAACACTTTTGGTATTTTGCTATTTTCTACCGCATCTCCCCTCTCCTCTCTCCCCCGCCCTGGGCCTCCGGTTCTCCCTGCGGGACGGTCTCGGCCTCCAGGTTTCTTTCTGTCCCTCAAACTTGTTCTGTGTCTTTAGCCACAGCTGTCCTTGTACCCACCTCACCGTGGCCCACTTCGCTCTTGGCCTGTCTCTGACAGTCTCTTTGTGCATGTGTCTCTCTGTCCCTCTCTCTCCCCCGTCTCTGCCCCAGCCACGAAGCAGTCCCTGGCTGCTGTGGCCGTGGCCGCCCCCACACTCGGTCTCAGGGGGCCCAGCTCCTGCAACCGTCCAGCTGACAGTGACCAAATCCCCTTTCCCCTCAGTGCAGCTGGAGGAAGATTGGGGTTTTCCAGCCAAACGTGGTTAGGAGACTTGGGGAAGAGGGAAGAGGGAAGCAACCCAAGCAGAGACACAGGCCCGGCAAGGGCACTTGTGCTGGACGCGGGTCCCTACTGCCATGGGGTGCAGACCCTGCCGCCGGCACAGCCGGGTGCCCTGCAGGCTGGAGAGAGGGAGGTCGCCTCTCGCCCCAGGCCACCAGCCGGAGGCCCCGCCAGTCTCCCAGGCTGAAGAACCTCCAGCCCCATCTTAGACCCATTGTTCTGGCTGAAAATCTAGGCCAGGGCCACTGCGGAGGAAAAGGAGCGTTTCCACGGCCGCTGCCTTGGAAATCTCAAGATCGACGTCCAGGCAGGTCGTCAGGGAACCAGCTGCCCGCCACCACCCCGGCCTGGTCCGTGGCCAGCCTGGGCCCGAGAGGCGGACGATGGGCAGGCGGGCAGCGGCGGCGCTGCGGGGTGCAGGGCCCAGCGGGGAGGACAGCAGCTGCCCTAATTACTCCAGCTCTCCGGGTTCCAATCTCGTTTCAAAAGGACTCCAGGGACACAGCCTTTAATAACTACCAGTAAACAGGCAGGAAAATCGATACCTGGTAAATAGAGCCCTGGAGAGAGGGAGGCCTGGGCTCGCTGGCCCTGCCGAGCTCCCAGAGTCCTCTGTGGCAGAGCTGGCCAACGCCGCCTTTGGGAACCCTCTGGCCCGCCTGGGAGTCCTCCCCTGAGACCCCGAGAAGCTTCGCCACCCACCCCCGGGGCTGCTCCTGCTCCAGCCTCCACGCCCCCTCCATCAACCCACCCCCGCCCCTCTCCCACCGTCCCCGAGCCCTCGCGTGTGCCAAGTAGGTTGCCCGGTTCAGTTGCAGATGCCTCTTGTACGCCAGGCTTGGTGCCTGGTGCCCTCGAAACAGAGTCGTGGATCTGACCCTGTCCCCGTCCTCCCAAAAGTCATCAACCAATGAGATTGGTTAAGAACAAAAACAGCGCTCGCTTCGGCAGCACACATACTAAAATTGGAACGATAGAGATTAGCGTGGCCCCTGCGCAAGGATGACATGCAAATTCGTGAAGAGTTCCATATTAAAAAAAAAAAAAGAACAGAAACAAATAATGACAGTGCAAGGATAGACATGCAATAAGAAGCTGGGTGTGCCAACTAGAGCAACAGAACAGAGAAGTCCTTGCTGGAAGAGGTGGGCAAGTGAAGGGCTTTGTTGGATGAATAGGAGTTCACCAAGTGAACAAGGGCTGGGAGAAGGTGAATGTGGGTAGTATATGTAATAATAGCCATGGTAGCTAACATTCATCAAGCATTTACTGTGTGCCAAGGGCTCTACTAAGCACCTTTGCCATGTGTCCTGTCATTTTGTCCCCCAGAGTAATTCTTTGGGGTAGGTATTAATACCTCCATTTCACAGATAAGTGTACTGAGGCTATGTATGGGGCCAGGATTTGCACAAGGCCCGCGAGACTTCTGAGTTGCTTTAATCTCTTCACTCTGCACCGCCCGCCCCGACTGTCCCCTGGCTAGCTCGGGACTCGCCACGCGAGCAAGTTCCCATCTCTGCCCTTCCCATCCAAGGGTCACACTTCCCAGGTAGCACAGGGAGGCTCATGGTGATAGTCCGGGCACATCAGACTTGAAGATCATCCATCACGACCCCTTATCTTGCACGGGGGGAAACTGAGGCCCTGGGAGGGGAAGACCAGCACACAGGAGCACGTGGGAAGAGGATCCAGAGTTTTCTCCTAACTAATCCTCTCTCAGGCCTGCCCTGGAAGAAGCATCGCCAGGGAAGAAATCAATATGCACACACTCAATTAAAATGATAAATCAGGCATCAGAAGGCGGCTGAGCCCGAGGCCCAGGGGAAGTTTTCAGATGATTGGCTGGAATATCATAGGGGCCCTGGGACCTTATTTCCTGAGGCCGGGCTGCCAGTGCAACCCCCTCCACCCTGTCTGTCTCATAGCAACAGCTCTGTGCCTCAATTTCCCCAGCTCTCAGCGTCTGTTCAGTTGGCAGGGGACAGGGGTGGTCTGTAGCTCTTGGGATTCTAACAGAGGAGAGGGCAGAGGACAAGCTCGATCAGCCCTGAGTAGGGACACAAGTGAGGGACAGTCACAGTCGGGAAACTCCAGAGACTCTCTCACGGCAGGAGAGAGAGGCGACCTGAGCAAAGGAGATGGGGGGGGTCCCTCCATCAGCCTGCAGATCCCTGGGCCAGGCACCCTGCGGAGAGGCCAATTAACGACGGAAGCGCCCTGCATGTAGTGAGTGCCTACTGTGTGCAGGCCCTGTGCCAGGCACTGGGGACACAGCAACGAGCAAGACAGACAAGATCCTGACCTCGTGGCTGACAGCCTGGCAGGAAGTGACAGGGCATGAAGAAAGCATGCGATTAATACATCATGTGAGGGGGTGCTAAGTGCCGGGAAGGAAAACGAAACGAGCTAAGAGGATAGCAATAGGAGGGCAGCCGTTTTAGAAGGGTGGTGTGGGAAGGTCTTTCCAAAGAGTTGACGTTTGAACACACACCTGTAAGAAACAAGGGAGGAAACAAAGAGAACATCTGGGTATGGCGAGATCATGTGCCAGGCAGAGGGAACAGCAAGTGCAAAGGCCCTGGGGCTAGACGGTGAAACAGCAAGTCAACCGAGGGGGCTGGTGTGGAGTGAGTGAGGGCAGAGGTGAGGAGTACGTCAGAGAGGAAGACGGGGCCCCGCGATGTAAGCTTTTCTAGGTCACGGTCAGGACTTTGGCTTTTACACCAAGTGGGTGGGAGCCGTGAGAATTTTGAGCAGAGAAAGGATGTGATCTGGCTTGTGTTGAAGAGGATCCCTCTGGCTGCTGCGTGGGAAATGGATTATGGGGGGAAGAATGGGTCATGGCTTAACATCACCCCATTTTCAATATGGGGGCCACTGAGGTGTGGGAGGCATAAGGGACTTGCTCACAGTCAAGGAGCAGTCGAGTGTGCAGCCTTTCTGCAGGTGTGCCAAGTGAACCCAGCAAAAGGATTTCATTGCATCAGCCCCAAGGCATAGAGCAGGCTAAAGGCTCTGAGAAGTCCTGCAGCCTGGACTGTGGGTTATCTCTGAACCCAGAGTTTCCCATGGAGCATTGATGTCAGGGAGCACCTAGATCTTTGGCAAACATGGAGCGGGGGTTGGGAGTAAATCCTCAGTGCCCTCCTTCATGAAAGGGGTGCATCAATACCCACCTGGCTGGGTTATCATGGAGTGAGCACGTGGATTTTGCATGAACACTGAGCACGCGGCCCTCCAAAGAGCGGACAGGGAGCAAACGTGTGTTGAAGGAAGGAACAAACGGACAAACAGATGAAGGAAAAAAGCAAATAAGTGAAGGAAGGAATAGCCATCGCAGGGGTGAGCGCAGGGAATGACGGAATAAACTGAACCCCAGATGGAGCAGTGTGTGAGCTAATGATTGCACGCATTCATTCATTCAGTAAATAGCTCTTGAGCGCCCTCTGAGTGCAAGTGCTGGAGACAGAGCAGCAAATAAAACAAAATGAAAGAATTATTGAGTGAGTAAACGAACTAGTGCTTGGACTCAGAAACTAATGAATGAACAGATTGATGAATGAGTCAGGGAATGAACGGGTGAACGAATGAAGGAGAGAAGCACTGCATGCCACCCGCCTCTCTGCGCAGCCCTGGCGTCTGCGCCTGTTCCCCGCCCCCCGTCTAACAGCCCCGCACCCCCCGGCCGCCCGCCGGGCCTGTGAAGCCCCTACCCCAGCGCCTCTCTTGACACCCCCCTTTTCTGCCTGTCCCCCCTTCCGAGCGCAGGCACCATGCGGCCCGTGCGGCGCAACTTCTACGACCCGTCGTCGGCGCCGGGCAAGGGCATCGTGTGGGAGTGGGAGAGCGACGGCGGCGCGTGGACGGCCTACGACATGGACATCTGCATCACCATCCAGAACGCCTACGAGAAGCAGCACCCCTGGCTCGACCTCTCGTCGCTCGGCTTCTGCTACCTCATCTACTTCAACAGCATGTCGCAGATGAACCGCCAGACGCGCCGGCGTCGCCGCCTGCGCCGCCGCCTGGACCTGGCGTACCCGCTCACCGTCGGCTCCATCCCCAAGTCGCAGTCGTGGCCCGTGGGCGCCAGCTCGGGCCAGCCCTGCTCGTGCCAGCAGTGCGTGCTGGTCAACAGCACGCGCGCCGCCTCCAACGCCATCCTGGCCTCGCAGCGCCGCAAGGCACCACCTGCGCCCACGCAGCCGCCGCCACCGCCGCCCGGAGGGCCGCCGGGACCCCTCGCCGTGCGCCCCAGCGCCACCTTCGCCGGCGCCGCGCTCTGGGCCGCCCCCGCCGCCGGCCCTGCGGAGCCCGCGCCGCCCCCCGGGGCGCCCCCACGGAGCCCGAGCGCCCCCGGCGGCGCGCCCACCCCGGGGCAGAACAACCTCAACCGGCCGGGGCCGCAGCGCGCCACCAGCTTGAGCGCGCGCGCCTCCATCCCGCCGGGGTAAGACGGGGCCCGGGGGTGGGGTTGGGGGGGAGGGGTCCCCTGTGTCCACGGCAGGCGAGGACCAAGCCCAGGGTTGGCTGCCCACTAGCGCCAGGAGCAAAGAATTATGAAAACGATGATAGGTAATATGGACATCTAGAATCCACTTTGCGCCAAACGCTAACTAAGCACCTTAACATGTTTCCACGCTTTTATCTGGATGCACAAGGACCCCGCGAGGTAGGTGCCACCATCATCCCCAGTTGACAGATGAGGAAACCGAAGCAGGGAGAGAGTAAGTCGTTTTCCCAAGACCACTCAATTCACAAGTGATGGTGCCATGAGCACGTGGACAGCTGTGCGCGTCCCCGTTCATTGTTTGCCAAACTCTTCCCCTGCAGGGCCCCATTTAGTTCCCGGGGCCGCGCTCCCGGCCCCTATTACAGGGGGAGGTGCGGCGGGAGAGGCATGGTACCTTCTCATGGTCACCCAGGGGAAGAGTAGGAATTGGAGCCCAGACCTGCAGGATTCCAGAGTCCGCGCTGTGCTGCCTTGGGATTTTTGCAGGACGTCAGTCTGTCGTCGTCCCGGTCTGCGCACACCCCACATGGTGGCTTGAGCAAGCATTCGCTGCGTGCAAAGTACTTCCCCTGTAGGCCACACCTGAGATATCGCCATGACTTTGGGTTAATACTACGGTTTCACACTAGGCTCCAGGGACTCCCGGGGTGACCTGGAATAGTGAGGGCTGGGGGGACTGGAAGTCACGCAGACAAGAGCCAGTCTCTCTGCTCTTGTTTTAACCAGAGCAGCCCTTTTTGGAAACGCTTCTGTGAATCGGCTCGCCCAGCAGGGATTCATTGAGGAAGGGAACCCAGGTCACGCCAAGTTTGGAAATTCCTGGTTAAGGTGTCCTAGGCCCCAAGATAGGGACTCAGTGAGTGGCTGTCACCCACCCACCCTGGAGCCCAGACTCTGTGAGTCTGAGCAGAGGACCAGGCCCTGACCTGGTCCATGAGAGGAAAGAACAAAGACCTCGAACTTAACAGATCAAAAGAAAAATGGCCAGGAGGGTGTGGGGTGTCCCCAAGAGGAGGAGGAGGAGGAGGAGGGTGGCACCAAAAGCTAACTCTGTCTGTATCACCATGGCATGGCCCAGGGGATTGACAGTGATGGCCTGGGGTCACCAAAGGTCAGATCTGGATGTGACCTTTGGGGTCACCACATCCAGGCCACCCCTTTGATTAAGGGGCAGCCAAAGCCTGGGAAAAGGAAGGATTGGGACCCTGAGCTAGACTGCGCTATTCACCTTTCGTTCCTTTGAGAGTCTGACACCTCTAGTTGCAAGATCTGGGGCGAGTGCCTTCCCTTCATCGAACCTCAGTTTCACCATCTGCCAAATGGGGGCAGAACTCCCCACGGTGTGGAGACGCATGCAGCGTCTACACTGGGCTATGGTGCCGCCCAGGCCGTCAGGACAACTTTTGTTATCCAGGAGAGGGCTGGTGTGGGGGCCGGGGGAGCTGGAATTTTCCAGGGAGGGACTGCAGCCGCCACTACCTGCCTGCCTCACCCCTCCCTTCCCCTGCCCTCCAGGTCATTCCTCTGGAGGAGAGGGCCATGGGGACAAACAGAGGTGGCCCCCGTGTGAACCTGGCCCAGGGCAGGCCCAGTGCCCATGGAGAGGAGACCCGCGGGGGTCGGGGAAGCCTGTCGGGGGAGCGTCGCCCAGAGCTGCAGGGGGGACTCACCGAACAAAGTACCAGTGCTGGCTCCTTGCAGATGGCACCGGCTCTGGCTGCCTTGTGAACAAAAGGCGCTGGAGGCCCTAGAGTGACAAGAAGGGTGGGACAACAAGCTTGAGCGGGGAGGGAGGCGTCAAAACCAGGAAAGTTCCAGGGGCCTCTGCAGCACGAATTCGAGAGCCTTCTCCTTGGGGAGTACTGTTGTAACCCACAAGTGGATTAGGAAATCAGAACGTTGTGACCAGGATTTTCTTTGAATAGAACAGTGGCCTCGGGAAGAGGGAAGAGCTGGGGAGGCAGCGGGACAGGGAGGGACGGGTGCTCAGGGGAGACCCCGGAGGAGACGGGCAGTGTGGAGAAAGGCTGTTCCAGGCAGAGGGAACAGCACGTGCAGCTTCAAGGGGGGTGTGAGGAGGGCTGGCACGTGAGGTGCCCGTGAGAGGGGGAGGGGCATCCCGGGCAGAGCAAGTGCAAAGCAGTGGAGGTAGGAATGAATCTGGAAGGTTCTGGCAACCACAAACTGATAGAGGCTCCTTTGTGGAACAGTGGGGGGCTGAGATTTTCCTTCCAAATGGGGCTACAGAGCTAGATTGTGCGACTTCAGGGAAGCCCTGGCTTGGCGCTGCCAGCCATGGGGAGCTATAGAGTGTGCTTGAGCTCAGGAGGGCTGTAGGGAGAAGAAAGATTTCTCGTTGGGGGTGCCGATCCGATCCTTAAACATGTCCCTCTCTGACCTAAGAGGGTGTTGTCCCCAGCCACGTGTCCCTCCCCCACAGTCTACATCATTTCTCCTGCCCCTCCCTTGGGGACGGTTTCTGACCCTCCCTGAGCCCAGACATCTGCCTGGAAAGCCGGAGATAGCGGGGCGGGGAACCAGCGAGGGCTCCCTCGCCCTCCTGGCACAGGCAGACTCTGCCAGTCTCCCCCAGCCCCTTTGGCAGACGCTCCCCAGCCAGACAAGCCTGTGTCTAGGCCCCCACCCCTCCGAAGCCCCCGTCTCAGCGTGGGGGAGGGGCAGGACCGGTGCAGCCTGTCGCTGGAGGAGGGAGGGGAGGAAGCAGGAGCGGGCGGCAGACCCTGGCTCCTCCAGGCTGAAGCTTCTTGTTGCCAAGACGACTGAGACTCGGGTGCGGCCTAGGAGGGGGCAGGCGTGGGGGCGCCAGGCAGCCAGGCCTCCCCACCCTGCCCCGGCCCTTCCCCCATCCTCTGTCTGGGTTTTTACGTCTGTGTCGGTTTGCTGGGGCTGCCGTGACAAAGTGCCAGACGGGGTGGCTTGAACAACAGAAGCGGATTCTCCCAGGGCTCTGGGGGCTGGAAGTCCAGGGTCAGGCTGTCAGCAGTGCTGGTTCCTTCTGAGGCCTCTGTCCTCGGCTTGTCGATGGCATCTTCTCCCTGCGTCTTCACGTCTTCCCTCGGCACCTGTCTGTGTCCTAATCTCTTCTCGTGGGGACACCAGGCTGCTGGATTAGGGCCCACCCAAATGGCCTCATTTTAACTTAATTAGCACGTTAAAGACCTCATCTCCAAACAGTGGCCTCTGAGCTCCTGGGGGTTCCAGCTTCAGCACGTGAACCCTGGCAAGACTCAGTTCAGCCCATGACAGTGTCTCTGTGTGTCTCTCCCTGTGTATCTCTCTGTGTCTCCCTGTCTCTGTCTCCTGCTCCCTCTCTCCTGTCCTCCCATCCTCCCCCTCTCTCTCCCTGCTTCCTTCTGTCCTCCCCTCCTCTCTCCCCTGCTGGACTCAAACGGACACAGAGTCCTTTCCAGGTTGGGCACACTTGAGGCTTCACCTCTCCAGCCTCAATTTCCCCATCTGCCAAAAAGAGCCAAACCCACCAGCTCTCGCACCTGCAGACTCAGCGGGGCCGATGGGCCTGCGGTCACACTCAGAATCGTCATGTAGCGTCGGCGTGCCAGGGAGCAGTGGACTCTTCAGAGAGCTCTGACACCATTCTTCTCACCTCCATCCTCACCTCAGCCTGGGATGGGGACCGGGAAGCAGGCCCAGAGAGGGGGATTGACTTGCCCGGGGTCACACAGCCAGTGGGCGGCAGAGCAACCTCCTGGCCGGGGTTTTTTTCCACTTGCCCCTGTGACGGGGCAGGGAGCCAGCTGGCAGCCTGGGCTGGGGGACCGGCGGGGGTGGGAAGATCCGCCCTGTCACCGAGGGGTCAGTGTCCGGTGCAGAGGAACCACGCTCAGAGTTTCCACCCCACGTGGTGGGTGGGGGCAGGCGGACACCTGTGGGCCGGTTTCCATTTGCCGAGCGCTCACTGTGTCTCAGGCTGTATTTCACGGCTTTGACGGACGTCGTCTCTCTCAGTTCTCACAGAAACTCAAGGCAGCCAGTCCTGGTACCCCACTGAGGATAGTGAGGCCCCCAAAGGCTAAGACTCTTGCTCAAAGTCATGAAATTAGGACTCTGATTCCAAAACCCAAGTTGGCCGGGGTCTTGGGAGTGCCATCCCCCAAGCCTGCCCAGGCTGTTTCCGATCACATTCCAGAAACCCCACCCCAATTCCTGTGTGACCGCAGCTGAGCCCGTCTCCCTCTCTGGTCTTCAGTTTTTGCACTTGTGAAATGGGATTGGCAACGCAGGCCACTGTCCAGCACAAGGCCAGATGTCAAAGCACCTACATTTTCAATCTTGCACCTACTGAAAGCCACCCTCGTCCCCTCCCTCCCTACCAGACTTGTCCAGCATTGCCAACCTGATTGTTGCTAAAGAGATGTCATTTAAGTTTTCGTACTTTTGGTGCTTTAGTTGAGCCTGAGAACCTTTTCCTGTTTACTGACCACGAGTGGTTTCTTCTTTTGCCGATTACCTGTTTATTTCTTTGGTTTATCCTTCTCTTGGGCTGTTTATTGCTTCCTTACTGAATTAAGGGTGTTAACCCTCTGACTATGCTCTTTTCCCTAGTTTGATGTTTCCTTTTACTTTATGGCATGTGTTCGTCTGCTTTTGAATTAATTAATTCCTATTTATTGAAGAAGTGCTGTGTGCCAGGCACTGTTTGTTGTTTAGACACCACAGTGAACTAAACAGTCTCTGCTCTCTTGGCACTTACATTCTAGTGGGAGACAAACAATAAGCAAAATAAGGAAATTCTAGAATACAGTAGAAAGTAGTAATTGCTACAGAGGAAAAATAAGGAAAGGAAGGGTGTACGAGGGAAGTCCAGGGATGTGATTTTAAATACAAAGGTCTGGAAAGTCCTCACTGGGAAGGTGACATTTGAGCAGAGACAGAGGGAGGTTAAGAAGCAAACCATA